ATAATCATACCAGATGTTCTAGGCTGCCCCTGCTCAGAAACAATCAGAGTGAATGTACTAGGCTATTTTAGAAGCATTCAATGCAAGATATGGGTTGGTGACTTACAAGCATTTTCCAAGCTGAATACAGATTAATCAACAAAGAGCTGAAGTCTTACTGGCTTAAGAGACTGAAATATAATCTCTGACACATAAAAATTCTGACCATTTTAAAATAAAATCATACTCCTTGCCGCTGTTCTGGAAGACTATCTATATGCCCATGACTGTTCCTTCTGAGGAGTGACTAGCTACAGAACTTCAAGCTAGCTGTCCCTGGCTAAGTGCAGGACAAAATCATAAAACTGCTGAATTGTGAAAGCAGGCTATAAGCCACACACAGATCCACCTGTAAAGGGTAAAATTTATCAGTTCGGGGGTCTGAAGCACAACTTGCGATCAGTAAACAGCTTATGCTGACCCTCCTATAGGGTAAAAGATAAAAACAAGGAAAAAAGTGATTCCGATAACATATGATCTATTTGCATTAATGTGATATCATGAGCTGTGAATGAACAACTCTTAAGAATAAGATTAAAGGGCACCTGGGTGGCTCAGTGGGTTAAGCCTCTGCCTTCAGCTCAGGTCATTATCTCAGGGTCCTGGGATGAGTCCCGCATCAGGCTCTCTGCTCAGCAGGGAGCCTGCTTCCCCCTCTCTCTCTGTTTGCCTCTCTGCCTACTTGTGATCTCTCTCTCTCTCTGTCAAATAAATAAATAAAATCTTAAAAAAAAAAGAATAAGATTAAAAATGTCAGCACAATTTCTCTCAGTGTAATTATATTTGAAATAACATTATCCTCAAAAATATCCTTAAAAGCAGCTTTCAGAAAACAATACATAGATCAGCCAAAGAAGTAAATTGGGATAAACTTTACTTAAAGGTGAAATGTTTGAAGGGCCACAAAATACTCCTATGATCAAGAAAATACCAATCTGCTTTTATAGTAATTATTTCTTGAGTTAGACATTTTCTACCTAATGAATTATTCACTTGACTTTTTTTTTCCTGATTGTCTTCAAGTTTGAAAATGATTAGTTGGTATATAATTGCTCTAATGTATTAATATCATATTTCAACCCAGTGACTTTATAATTAATTTCTATTTCCTGATCACTATCAAGCAACGTTATATCTAATGAAGTAGCACTGAGTTCTAGATATATCAATGCCACCAAATTCAAAATGGCTATAAAAGGGAAATTGTACTTACAGATTTCCATGGAATTTTTTAGAAGCCTTGCTGGAAACAGTTATCTTTTTCTCAAAGGGGAATAAAAATCCAGAAATAAATTAGCTGTCAGATACGGAAAAAAAAGAAAAATAAAAACAAACAAAAAGTAAAAATACATTTTTTTGATTCATTAAAGAAAGTATTTTTAGAAGTCTTCATGAATCGCTTCTCATTAAAAAATAAACTCTTGAAACATATTTAACTTGTTTTCTTACTGAAGTCTTAACCACTTTCCAGCCTGATGTGTCTTGACTGTAGTCTAAAACTTCTTGAGCAGTTTCTTGGGCAAGTGCCTTATAGTCCATCTACCTGCAAAGTTGTAAAAAGAGACAACTGGTAAGAATATAGCCATACAAAACAATTTTAAAATGTTGTATTACATTTTAGCACTATTTTTATAATATCTGTTACATTGTAATGAACAATACTTATTTTTATTAAGTTTTTACTTAATAATTGCTAAGTGTATGAATGAATTGCTTCTTCCCTAATCATAATCTTTCAAATGAGAAAATGTGGTATAGTACAAAGAGTAGGTTTTGGACTCAAGAAGACCAAGCTCAAGTCCTGTCTCTGCCACTAATTATGAACCACATTACTTGATATTTCCATTTTTCCATTTTCTGGGACAATAACTAACTGTAAAATTAATGTGAGGATTAAATGAGATAATGCATTTAAATGTCCTATCCCAATACCTGGCACATAATAGTTATTCAAGAAATCATTGATATTTCCAACAGCTTCATCATGCTTCTTTTCTCTTATAAAGCATCATAATCTGTTAATCATGTGTTCTTCAGAATTAGTCTTTTAAAAGTGAGGGCAATGGCACTACATGATCTGACGTTTGGCTTCCACTCCAAAGGCAACTCGTCTTCTCTTCCACCTCAGCTCCAGTCATATTGACCTGGCTGTTCCTCAGACACAACCAAGCATCTTCCTACCTCAGGATCTTTGTACTTGCTGTTCCCTCTGCCTGTAACATTCTTCCCAAATATGACAGATTCCTCTTCATTGGTATGTTTGTTTAAATGTCTCCTCTTCAGACAAGATCAAGTTCAAATCAATTCAATATGAACATATTTACAAAACTCTTTACTAGTGATTAGGTAGGTGTGGCAAAACAGTTGAGTAAGATACTATTTCTGTTCTGAATGAGTTCAGAAAACTGGAGTCTCATTGGTCCTTTGGTTCATTATCTAGTTTTCAGTTAGGGGAAGCTGGCTTGGATGGTGGAAGGAATGTGACAACACACAGCTGGATTCAAATCCTAACTTGGCCACTCACCACCAGCTATATTATTTTGAATAAATTACTTAACCTTTGAACTTCAATTTTTACATGTATAGATTGGGGATAGTAATACCTACCTCATGGGGTCATTATAAGGATTAAGTGAGTTAATATATGCAAAAGTGATTGAAACAGTGTGGGACTCCTTGATAACCAGAAACATTAGTTTCTTTTCTTGAAATGACACATTTAAATCCAACTTTTAAAAAACTCTCCAGGGGCACCTGGGTGGCTCAGTGGGTTAAGCCTCTGCCTTCAGCTCAGGTCATGATCTCAGGGTCCTGGGATAGAGCCCCGCATCAGTCTCTCTGCTCAGCAGGGAGCCTGAGTCCCCCCACCTCTCTGCCCACTTGTGATCTCTGTCAAATAAATAAATAAAATCTTAAAAAATAAATAAATAAAATAAAAATAAAAAACTCTCCAAAGAGCTGCCTCAATAAACCTTTAAGTTCAATTACCAAAACAGTGTCTTAATTAACTCTCACTTAAAGCTCTAGGTTGGATCATAAATCTACTTTCTCTTGTTCTCCAGCAAGGCATAACACCTACTTGACATCAGTATTTGAAAAGCTTTTGTAAACCATTACAACTCCTTTTTCCTAGTAAGACTTTAGGTTTCTTTACCTTTCCTAATAGATCTAGTCCAGAATTTTAATAATTATTGGGACTCTTCTCCAAATCCTTGTGGAGATCTCCATATCTCTTAACCTGTGAAGGAGAAGGAACAAAGTACAATTATTTTGATCCATGAATTAGGTCAATATATTTGATCACTTCCTTTACATTTTCTCAGTGTCTTTTATTTTTACTTTATACCCTCATTAGGAAACATTTGCTATATATGTCCACGATGAAAGAAAAAGATAGTAAGAGAAATGTTAATAATAGTGTTTATGAAAAGAACCTTTAAGAAATTATCTTAAAGGGGCGCCTGGGTGGCTCAGTGGGTTAAGCCGCTGCCTTCGGCTCAGGTCATGATCTCAGGGTCCTGGGATCGAGTCCCACATCGGGCTCTCTGCTCAGCGGGGAGCCTGCTTCCCTTCCTCTCTCTCTGCCTGCCTCTCTGCCTGCTTGTGATCTCTATCTGTCAAATAAACAAATAAAATCTTTAAAAAAAAAAAAAAAGAAAAAAAGAAATTATCTTAAAGAAGGACAGGTTAAAAAGACATTCAGGTGGAATGTAAATAAAGATGTCTAACTTTTTAAGCTCATGCCAGTAACAGTCCGGGCTAGTCCCTGACTTGTGCTTTTCCCAGCACATATAACACAGTTCTTTATTTTCAATCTTGATATTGAGTGATCTAGAAAAGGCATCAATTATTGGCACATAGCACTAGACTATAAGCTCCTGCAGGGCCTTCTACTCATTTTCAAATCACTAGCACTTACTTGCACAATAAATGTGTTTAATTGAACCCCTTAACTGAATATTATAGCTTGTGGACTTTTTCATTGGCTAAGAAAAAAAAGAAAAGTTAAGTTTAGTGGGCTAGAGAGGGTGAGAAGAGAACAAAGAGCAAGACTACAGTTGCATTACCTGGTGATGTAACGTCGGATGAACTGGAACATATTCAGGTGGAGTAATGGTCAAGGATATCTTCACCCATAGGGTCAGTGGAAAATAAACATAAACCAATATTGAGACAGCATCTTTTTTTGATACACCACTTGGTTGAAACTGGATTCTTCGCACCTCATATCCTGTCCCAGCCTCGTAGACAAGATTCACACATGTTGTTACTGGGTCTTTACATCTGTTTGTATAATCTCCCTTTTTCTGGGCTGCCTGACTGGGTCCCCAAATCCGTGCTGGGTCACTGCCATTCTTCCCTGGGAATCAAGGTCCCCAAGGAATTTGTTAAATCCCATCCCTGGCCAAACTCCCTCCTCCAATCCCGCATAGGCTGAGTGTGAGGGACTGGCTGCAAGCCCAGGAGCGCCGGGCTCAGGAACGGGATGTGGGAGGCAACTGAGGAAGGGGGTGAGGAAGTGGTCTGGGGAGCTACCCCTCCAACCCCAGCTGGAGATGGTGTCTTATCCTGGGAGGGGGTGCTCCGAAACCCGGAAGGCTGAGGTCAAAATGGCAGCCGCCAGAGCCCTTCAGTCTCCTTCCGCACCTCATCCCCTTACTCCCGGGGAGCGCGCGGAGGGACGCTCAGCCTGTCGTCAGCGCTGAGTGGCCCTGAAGAGAGGTGACGGAGGTGGGGAGCGCGTGCGGGGGAGCGACAGGGATGCAGTCCGGAGACCCCCCCCACCCGCACCCCCATCCCCATCCAGAAAGATGAGGAGGGAGAAACTACACTTCCCAGCATGAAGTGCTACCAAACGCCCCGCAGCTCCCACTTTTCCTGGCGGCCTCCTCCCCTGGCCCAGCTGCCCCAGGCGCCGAGCGCCACGCGTGCGCACCGCAAGCCAGCGCCATGTTGGATCAGTTTGAAAGTGAGCGCGGGCGTCGTGCTCCGCTGTGACGGCGGAGTAGGCTTCCAGCAAGCGGAGCCTGAGGCGGGGCGGTGTCCGGGTCGGGGATGCTTTGTCGCGTCTTCCGCACGGTAACAGGCGCGGACTTTTGGTGGAGAGTTGTGGACGTGTGCGTTTTTATCTCTTTTGGTCGGTGAGTTTGGCCCCCAAAGGGGGTGTATTTTCAAGAGGCTCCCCATCCCTCAGCCCGTGGGAAAGGCTAGAATCAGGGTGGCGCGGAGGGGAGAGGAAGACGTCTCCTGAGGGAGAGCGCGGTGGACGTTCCGGGTGGGAAGAAAACACCTTTCTCGGGAAGCTCCCGAGTGGGGCAAGGTCCCGGAACGAGACGGAGGGGACTTGACGTGGGCCTCTTGAGACTCCAGGCGTCTATTGACCAGGGCGGGGCGGGAGGGGAGTTGGGCTTTACGCGGGGTCACCTCGGAAAAACTCCGTCCGCCCACAGGGGAGCTCACGGTTGCTGCCTAATAAATGGTTCTGAGTGGAAGTACCTAACTGAAGCCTGTGTCTGTGACTGCCGGGGGTGCTGGAATCCCGAAGGGGGGGGGGTGTCGCCTAGGAAAGGGCGGAAGGGTTGAACCCCAACGCGTCGGCTGGGGAGAGATGCTCTCGTGCGGGGGCGCCAGCGATTCTCGCTTCCCGGGCTCAAGAAGGCTTGTCGTTTTGCTGTAGAATAAACAAATGTTCGGTTTCAAAACAGAAATCACTGCGCTGTTGGTTCTAGGAAGGTGCTCGTTTCCGGTGAGCTGTACCCATTGTTTAACACTGAACATTGTTTTTGAATCAAAGGTAGTTGAAATTTTTTTGCCATACGTTTAGCATTTTATTCTTCGGAATGATGGATTTCCTTTTGGAGATAAGAACGGAAGTGTTTGCGGAAGTAATGGTAAGATACATGGATTTGCTTCCAAATCGTCCTGTGGCGGAAGTGGGGAGAAGTGGCTGGATAGAAGTTGGGGTATGTTAGTAACTGAAGAAGGGTGATGGGTGCATGAGGTTTTATTAAACTCTTCGTTGTACTTCTGTATACTTTTGGAAGCTTTCCACGATAAAAATTGACTGTGGATTTTCTTTCTGCCTTCTGTGAATTAAAATAAATGTTATTACCCGCTTAGAACTGTAATCCAACAGCTTAAAACAAATTTGTTTTTGTTTTCACAACTAAATTGGTGACCTGTACTGTGTTGGAATAAGGGTGAAAATGTTTGGTAAAGCGATGTTTACTTGAGAAAATTTAGACATCATTAGTGAAAGGGGTAAAGAAAGAACAAAGCTGATTTAGTCGAGCTATTCTTCAGAGATACACCAACATCACAGCATTCCAGGAAATCAAAGAGGCTAAATAACTGTTGTGTTCTGCTGCTGCTGCCCCTGACTGCTGTTCGCTCTCTTGCAGAGGCAGATGCACGCTCTAAAGCTGAGGAAGGATGATGTTTTACTCTGTCTTTGAATGGAAAACTTTCAGTATTTTAAAGTCAAATTTGATAGTTATTAAGACTCCATTAAAAGTTGTTATAACTTAAACGTTTATTCCTAAAATTATAGCCGAAAGTTAAACATAGTAACTTTAGAGCATTATAGGGGTGTATTGAGTCCTAGACAATAATTTTTCATTTTTAATACAAAAAATCCATTTCCACTGGTCTAATTTTTTAAAAGAATGTCACATGTACTGAAGCCTTGTTATCTTTTACTTTTTCGAATGTAGATGCTATTAGTATCCTAAGGTAGGCAGGAATTCTCTCAATGTTAGTAATGGAAAAACAATGAGAGGAATATGTTGTCAATTTCCAAATTCTCTAAGTCTCTTGAAAGAAAGGGTGAATGTGTTTAACATAAGTGGAAATGGTAAGAGTATTGCCATAAATGGTGAGAGAATGATGACGTCTTAGGAAAAGAGCATTTCGCTAGCTCAATGAACTTGGTAGTTTATTTCTTTATACTAAATACTATAAATTATTTTGTTCTTGAGTTTTGCTGGGGGAGAGATTTGGCTAAAGTTACATATGGACATTTACAGCATTGAAAGTGAATATTCTTCTTTTGTTTCTAATACCTCATCTGATGCCTTTAAAAATTTATTGAGCACCTACTATCTGTAATGCATGATAGTAGGCTTATGAAATGAAAAATATTCTATATAAGGGAATGTTAGGTATTGTGATGTCATAGAATCTATCCCCATAAGAAAAGACTGTACCTCAGAAGTTTTTAGGGCTTAAAAATTGTGAGTACTCTTCCCTTGATAGTATTCTCAGATAATTATGTATAAAAAATTCCAGGAACGTAGTAGGTACTCAATAAATGTTTCTAAATCAATGATGAAGGAACTCACAATAATGACAATAATAGAAAATCTATAATGTTCATTGCCTTAAAAGGATGATAGAATGGATTTTATTCTTTATTTATTTATTTATTTTTAAAGATTTTATTTATTTGACAGAGATCACAAGTAGGCAGAGAGCAGGCAGAGAGAGAGGGGGAAGCAGGCTCCCTGCTGAGCAGAGAGCCCGATGTGGGGCTCAATCCCAGGACCCTGGGATCATGACCTGAGCTGAAAGCAGAGGCTTTAACCCCCAGAGCCACCCAGGTGCCCCTGGATTTTATTCTTTAAAGATTATAAAAAGTTGGGGCGCCTGGGTGGCTCAGTGGGTTGAGGCCTCTGCCTTCGGCTCGGGTCATGGTCTCAGGGTCCTGGGGGCATGGGGCTCTCTGCTCAGTGGGGAGCCTGCTTCCTCCTCTCTCCCTGCCTGCCTCTCTGCCTATTTGTGATCTCTATCAAATAAATAAATAAAATCTTAAAAAAAAAAAAGATTATAAAGTTTACATATTTAGTAATTTCTCTCTGTATGGCTGTTATTCCTTTTAATGGAACCTTAACCTATTGTTTTTGTATTACAGATATTGAGAGAAATGAATAGAAATAACCCATTTTGAGGAAGCCATGGCAAAGTCAATTACAAAACACAGAGTTTGTTCTCGGCAATCTTCAGTATCTTCTCTGTTAGCAAGCTGCAGCCTGAGTGGTAGTAATTCCTCTAAATCTGATGGCTCTTTTCAGTATAAGGATAAACTGTATAGTTCTGCCTCTCAGGCTCTACAGGCCTATATTGATGATTTTGATTTAAGCCAAATGTATCCTGGTGCAAGCACTGGAAAGATTAACATTGATAGATGTTCTGCTAATATGCCCGAATTCTCCAATTATATTTATAAACCAAACAATGGTATGCTTTTATTTCTTATTTTATTTTATTTTTGTCCACTGATTTGAAGTATTTGAGAGATGTATTGTAGTCTTGAAAAGCTAGACACTTCTTTTCTTCCTTTGGGGTAAAAATGACTTTTATAATATTGAGGTCTGGATGTTTTTCTTAAATGGTTCTGTAATTCTCTTGAGTCTCATGAATTTTCAGCTAAAATCTTATGACCTTGGAGGGAAGGTGATGAATATAACTAATAACAGCAGGTGGTTGATCCTAAACCCTTAAGCTATTTTATTACAGCATAATGGAAACAGCATTGACATGGTGGTTCTAGGTTTCGTTAACTAGGTTAATGACTTTAAAAAACCTGTCTTTCTGAATTCATTCTTGATTAATCCCAATTAATAAGACTCTATTAGTCTTCCTGATCTGTATTCTGTGGGATAATATATAAGATGTTAAGAGTTTTACCTTGATAAGCCTTCCACAAAGACAAGTTTGGAAAATACATCTGTTGATAACCCAGGTAACACTTAAATAAGTACTTATGGAATGGCCCTTGTATGGAAAAAATTTGCGTTCAACTCTTAGAAGTATGTGGGCACTATATTCCACAAGAGTATTAGAACAGCTGTTCTCTTTGTGTTAATGCTGTTGCAAGTTTCGTAGGCAGAAAGCAAACTATTTTCCCACCTAGTTTTCATATTTTTCTTCAAGGTTGCAGCCAATTTTAAGTGACCAATATTAATGTGAGTGTATTAGTACATCAGGTATGATGAGAAAAGTTGAAGAAACAGTAAGTTAAAGAACAAGGGAAAATTTAGGAGTTGGAGAGAAAAGTGTAGAACTTAAAGTAAATTAGAGAGATATAAAGAAAAAGCACATTGTATTTCATCAACCTATATCTTTTATACTTTGAATCAAAGCTTTAGTGAAGATAAAGGGAAGCAGCAAAAATGATTCTTAAATTCTTAATTCTATTTACTCTTGAGTATTATGAAGTATTGTTATATGTAATGTAGGAAAATAAACAGAACTGTGCTTTGTTTTTCAGCTTTTGAAAATCTTGATCCCAAAAAAAGCTTCTCATCCTTACCGTGTAGAAGAATGACTGTTAATGACATAGACTGCATTAGCCTAACAACTGATGATCTATTAAAACTTCCAGCAGATGGGTCATTTTCTTTAACTTGCATTGGATCAAGTCACCGAAATAGCAAGAAAAACAAGAAATGCATTCGAAGACTAAGCTATTTGGATACTGAAAAGAATCAAAATTTTCAAGAACCTTCCACTCCCATGTGCAAAGATAACTTAGTTACTCCTGTTGTACACATAAATAAAAATGGAAAGCAACGTGGTAGGCTAAAAAACCCAAAACTTGTGAATAAGACTAATAAGTACGTTTCTGATCCATCTTTATCATTTTCCAAGAAGTTGTCTTTCAAAGACAGTTCAGAACACAAACTTGAAAAGAATTACCCAAGATGGCTCACTAGCCAGAAATCTGACCTTAATGTTTCAGGGATAACTAGTCTACCTGATTTCACATACCCAGTCTGGCTCCACCATCAAGACTTGCTACCTGATACAAATAGTCAAAAAAGGATTTCTAAAATATTTAAAGAAGATCAGTGTTCCCTTAGACATAGTTACCAGGCACAAAGAACTTCTCGACTTATGAATAAATTAGATAGTTTTGAATATTCTTTTGAACCCTCAAACATTTCAGACTCCTTGAGTACTGATAAAGGATTAGTTAATGAATATAAATGTGATTCTGAACATAGCCAGTGTCAGTGTGAGAATCCACTTCTCCCAGGACAAACCAAAAAGCCATTCAGTGGTAATTGTTTTGTTTTGTTTTGCTTTGTTTTTAAGAACCAAAGGAAGTGCTGTAAATTTGACCTAATGTCTAGGAGCTTTTATGCTATATTCTTGATGTAATGATGAGATGATAAATCTTTTGAATACTTATGGCCGTCTTTTGTGTAGCATTTTGTGCCTAGGAAATGTCTTTTCTCCCCTTTTCTTTGAAATGTCATATTAAAAAAGTTTATTGTTACAGTTATGTATATATTCCAAATTAGTCTGAATTCTTATTTGTTGCCTTTGAGATTTTGCTGGGCTTTCTATTTGTTTTTTTCTTTTAAATTAATTTAATCTTTTAAATTAGGTGACAAAATTGAATTGCTTATCCTGAAGGCCAAGAGAAATCTAGAGCATTGTACTAAAGAGTTACAGAAGTCTACAAAAAAGGATGATAGTCCTTGTTCATTAGATAAACTTGAAGCAGAAAGATCATGGGAAAATATTCCTGTTACTTTGTACGTAAGTTACGATGAAAAAACTTCTTAGTTTTCCAAATGAAAAATGTCATGTGAACAGCTTATTTATTTTTTAAATAAATGAATGATAATTAACAACAATAATGAATGTTAATTTTATAGAACATTGCTTTGTGTTTTCTTTAAATTGCATTTTTCAGTTGTTACCACAAGATGGTGTAATGTTTCATAACCTTAGGCACATTATATAACTTGTCTTTATTACATGTTTCTTGTGTTGCACTATAAAATAGTGATTTATGTTTAATATGAAGAATCATAGCCAATAAGTTCTTTCTCTTTCTATATTCTCTCCATATGTGGAGTTACGCAGCTATCCACTTCTTTTCATTTACCTTTTACTTTTGCTTGTTTTCTTTAAACAGTGGTGCAATTTTTGTATGGTCTGTGTTATAAATTTTTGTAGTTTCTAAGATTATTTTCATTTGTATGCTTAACCTTCCTGTGACATAGCTTCTCAGAGTAATTTAAGCAGTGTTTACCTAGATACCTACGAGTGTGAGTGTGGAGTGAGAATTGAGCTTAGGTAGGAGAGTTTTTTCCCTAGTAATATTTTTACATCTGAACTCAACAGAAATGCATTCTTGGTAACCCTGTATCCTGCCTTAGGCTCTGAAAATTTATCATCTTTTGTTGTCTAAACTTTCATTCTTTTATAGTCTGTTATAGACAGAGTCTGTTAATTCCTATATCCATTTTTTTTATCACTTCTCAGGAACGTCTTTTTTTTTTTGAATGTGGACACTGAGTATAAATCTGGTTTGGAATCCCAGCTCTGTGACTTCTTTGCTAACACCTTGTATAAGTTATACTTCTGCTTTTAACAAATTACTACTGCTTTGTACAAATTCTACTTTGTACAAGTTACTTCTACCTTGTATAAGACCTTATATAAATTATTTTTCTATTTGGGGTTGCTATGAGAATTTGTTTGATTAGAAAATATATATAAGGTACTTTAGACAATTTTTTTTTTAAGATTTTATTTATTTGACAGAGACACCGTGAGGGAGGGAACACAAGCTGGGGGAGTGGGAGAAGGAGAAGCAGGCTTCCTGCTGAGCAGGGAGCCTAATACAGGGCTCGAACCCAGGACCCTGGGGTCATGACCTGAGCCAAAGGCAGACGCCTAACAACTGAGCCACCCAGGCGCCCCTGCTTAAGACATTTTCTGACTTATGATAAGCTTTCTTGTAGTTGTTAATAGTGGTGATGATTATCCAGAATATTTTTTTCCATATTTTGCTTCATTTCTCAATTGTTGGTTCAGTAGTATCTTTATTTTTTAAAACTTGGGTTAATAACTAGCTCACTTAATTCTTAAACTTATTTTCTAATTTCTTTCTTGTGAGGTCGCCTTTGTAAAGTACTATAACTGTAATACTTTGCTTTCACTTGCACTCAAAATGGGTGAGCAAACAGCATCAGAGGTATTTAAGAGTAAAATTTTGGAATGTGTGTAGTGTATTATATAATTAGATAATATAATTTATGCTTGTATGATTATTATTACAATCATTGATTTGGTCCAGTACTTTATGTGTAGATGTTGACTTTTGGAAAATTTAATTCATATTGTGATGGATATGTTTGTACATAAAATGAATGAAGGATTGTGAGGAGAAGGAATAGACCTGACCTCAGTCAAGTGTGATGTTGACAACTTATTGTCAATCTATCATCAAAACAAAACTAGGAAGTATTCAAGGTAGTATACCAGAAGGTAGAACATAACCACAATCAGATAATTACTTTTTGTTTATTTAACATTTTTATAATGAAAAATTTCAAGAAAATACAAAAGTAGAAGAATAGTATAGTGAATCCCTATGTACCCCACACTCATCTTCAGTAATCTGGTAAATGCTTTTTGATGGTACTGGATGGATGTGCAAACTCCTTTCATAAAAGATGGGCAAAAAGATTACTTAGGAGCAAGAAAAGCTCATAGTAAATTACAAATCAAATGAGCCAATAATGAAGTAAGAAAAAAATGGAATTGTGACATTTAAATGTTAGAGAAGGATTCTTAGGTATCTGAGCACTTGAGTTAGAAACACTTTTTTTTTCTTTTTTTGAGTATTTATTTATTTATTTATTTGTCAGAGAGTGCAAACAATCCCGCACACATGAGCAAGGGGAGCAGGGGAGCGGTGAGCAGAGAGAAGCAGGCTCCCTGTTGCACAAGGAGCCCGATGTGGGACTCCATTCCAGGACCTTGGGATCATGACATAAGCCAAAGGCAGACGTTTAACTGACTGAGCCACCCAGGCATTCCTAGAAACATAGTTTATATTGATGTATATATTGAGTGAATAAGAGAATGAGTTTATTTATTCTCCGTGACTAATAGAATTTGTTTTGGGAAAATTCTGACTTTTGCTGAGGTTACCCTTTGTTCTACTATGCCTTGAAACATCAAGAAATAAACATATTTATTGAGCATTTAGTACATGTTCCAGGTACATAGAGTTAATTTATGCAATACTTCTGTAAGATAAGTGGGACTATAAATATAAAACTGAAATTTAGATAAATTATATGTAATCACATAGTGGGATTGGGATTTGAACTCTGGAATTTTAATTTCAAAATTAATATTTTTCCCACAGTAATTTGTCCTCTTTGTAAATGCTAGTTCTGGAGGGTAAGTCCTATTTCTTTGACATGGAAGAGCATGTAACTGCCATTCCAGTAGAAACTCATATATTTGTGGGGGTTTTTACTATCATTGGGTAACTAACTGTGTTTATTTAGGAAAGTGTTCTGCTTATTTTGAACAAACCAGCTTTTAGAGTATAGCCTATAGTTGAAGGTTTATTTATTTAAAGACTAATGTTTTTACTTTCTTCATAGTTTTAACTTAAAGCTTTAAAGGAGAAACAGGGAGATAGGAAGGGTTAGATTCTGGTATGAGTTCAGAGAGAAGATGAGGGAATTACCAAGCAAAATCAATATGAATCATATCTATAATCGTTGTTCCTTGGAGACTATTTCTGTTTAAATGATAACCATTCAGTTATACATGAATTTTATAAATTGGGCACTTAATTAAATTACTATCTTATATCCTTAAATCCTATTTAGCAAATCTCCTGTTCCTGTTAACTCTGATGATAGTCCTCAACAAACTTCAAGGGCAAAGTGTGCTAAAGGGTTCCTTGATGATTTTTTAAATAATGATAATCAGGTGGGTGAAGTTAAATCTTTTTAACTTATTAAAAGTTTTTTTAACTTATTAAAAGAGGATTTATGACTAATATACAAATTTTAATTTCTAAGATGTTAAAAAACAAAAAATGATCCAAATTTCCTTTTTCTTTTTTTAAGATTTATATATTTTATTTGAGAGAGAGAGATAGAGAGGGTATAAGCTGGGGGAGAGGCAGAGGGAGAGGGAGAAGCAGACTCCCTGCTGAGCTGGGAGTCTGAAGTAAGGCTCCATCCCAGGACTTGGAGATCATGACCTGAGCCAAAGGCAGACGCTTAATCATCTGAGCCACCCAGGCACCCAAATTCCCTTTTTTTTTTTTTTTAACACAAATGCGTAAAACCATCGCTCCTAGAATTATTGATAATTTTGTTTTAATATTCTAAAGTAGAGGGACCTGGGACTGAACTCTACAGAGAGCTTAAATTATCATGTTTTTGGGGGGGGGGCAATATATAAAGCATATCATTATAGAGTAAGTTATATTTTCCCATACAATTGTTAATTATTGAGAGTTCTGTTTCTAAGAAAATATGATAAATCTATCATGATAAAATTTAAAATAGGAAAATTATTATCCAATTTTGCAAAATCAGCATTTGTGCATCTTGTAAGTAACCCCAAAATAAAGTATAAATGTGTATTTGTGCACATAAGAAATTATATATCATTTGACAGAAATATAGCCATGGCTGTTAAATATTGAAATCATACTTTTGGAGTCTTAAAATATGGAAGACTTGAGAGGTTAAGTACTCAAAAGTTAGCCAAAAAATGTAATAAAATGAACTCCTTCTGTGGAATTCACTAGAGAAAGAGGCTGTCGTAATATGTTTGACCCTAGAATTTTGTGTAAGATATAGCAGATATTGGGTAAGTTAAGCTTAATTATCAAGTATTTATTTGGCGGATATTTGAGTACTAAGCACTTTTTTAGGAGCTGTATCCCTAGTAGTGAATAAGAGGAAATCCTTGTGTCTTGGATTTTTTATTCCAATTAGAAAAACTAAACAAAAATATAATATGTGATATATAAGGGAGTACCGTAAGTGTTGTGAAGAAAAATTAGTTTGGATAGGAAAATGAGGGTATAATTTTAGCTAGGGTTGTCGGGGATGACCTCTAATAAGTTGATACTTGAGCAAAAATCTAAAATGAGTGAATAAGCCAAATACACATGGGGGAAATATCTTTGCATGTAGAGGTAATAGTAAGTGCAGAAACCCCAAGGCAGAATTGCATTTGGCATGTTCGAGGAATATTAGAGTCCAATAGGGTAGCTCAATCAGAATGAACAAGGGAAGGGATGGTAAGACGTAAGGTGGAGAGGTAATCAGGAACCAGATTATGTAGGGTCTTATAAGTGATGAAATAAAGATTTTATGTTTTATTTAGGTGAGATGAGAAGTCACTGTAGGGTTTTGAGTGGAGGAATGAAATGATCAGATCTACATTTTAAAATATAAAATGGCAGCTGTATGGAGAACAGAGAAGGAGCTGGTAAAGGAGCAGGGAACCCAGTTAGGAAACTTGTAGTCTTTCTGGATAGGATTGGCTTAGGGTGGGTGCATTGAAGGTAGTCAGAAATGGGCAGACTTGGCATGTATTTTAAGGTAGACCTAGTAGGATGGGGACAGAATTCAAAGAATAAATCCAAGGTGTTTGAGTCAAGCAGCTAAAAGATTGGGTGGTGGCATTTACTTAGGTAAAGAGCACTGGTAGAGGAACAAATTCACAGTTCTTTTAAGTTTGAGATGGATGAGTGTTAAATACTAACCAACTGGTCCCTTTTCCCCTGCCACTACACGCATAATCTCACTGCCAGGTTTTTATTTCATTTTTAATAATTTTAGATGTACAGAAAGTTCTTATCACCCTTCTTTCAGCTTCCCTAATGTTATCTCACATGCCATACTATAATCACAAACAAGGAATTAAGATAGGTACAATTCTATTAACTAAACTACAGACCTTACTCTGATTTCACTAGTTTTTCTACCAATGTCCTGTTCCAAGGTCCAATATTGTATTTAGTTGTCATGTCTCTTTAATCTTCTTCAGTCTGTGACAATTCCTCAGTCTGTCCTTGTCTGTCATGACCTTGACTGTTTTTAAGAGTACTAACTGGTTGGTTATTTTGTAAACAGTTCCTCAAGTTGGATTTGTCTGAAGTTTTTTCATGATTAGAATGAGGTTATGGTTTTGGCAAGAATGCAACAGAAATTATGCTATGCCCTTCTCAGTACATCATACCAGAGGGTTCACGATACATTGATATCATTGATTTACTGATACGTGTCTTAGTCAGGCTACTGTAATAAATATGCCATAGACCTGGTGGCTTAAACAACATTTATTTCTCACAGTTCTGGAGGCTGAGAAGTCCATCATCAAGGTGTCTGGTGAGGTCCTGCTTCCTAGTTTGCAGATGGCCATCTTCTCCATATGCTCTCCCACAGGCAGAGAACAGGGACGAAGCAAGCTCTCTTGTGTTTCTTATGAGGGCACTAATTCCATTCATGAGGACTCCACTCTTGTGACCTAATTACCTCACAAAAGTCCTTTTTCCAGATACCATCACATTGGGATTAGGCTTCAACATAAGAATTTTAGGGGGACACACATTGAGTCCACAGCAATGTGTTAATGTAATAATATATGAAATTATGTTAACACTTGTGATTTTAACCTTGAACACTTGGTGTTTACTGGCCCTCTCTCTAGTAAAATTATAGTTTCTCCTTGTAATTAATAAATATGGGGAGATACTTTGACACTGTGCAAGGAGTCTCAAAACTTCACTCACTAATTTTAGCATCCATTGGTGGATCTTCTTTTCTTTTAATTGAAATTCTTGTAGAATGAAGACCTGTTCCCTTTTTTCCCCATATATTAATTAAATTATTTGTATTGGTAGGGACTCATAAATAGAAAATTATTTTAAGTTTTTAATATAATATTGTTATTTTGTTGCTCAAATTGTTCCAGATTTGGCCATAAGGAGTTCCTTAGTTCCTTCAGGTTGGCCCCTGTGTCCTTCTGACATGTTCTTATCCTTTTTTTTTTGAGCACTTTTCTGTGGGGCCATGGTGGTTGTTTTTTTTGTTTTTTTTTTTAATTGGAAAATGGCAGTTAGAAACTAAGATCTGGGCACTAGTTGTGCTTATTGCTACTGGGATGTTATTCATTCTAGACTTTCTCAGCAGGCAGATCTGAAACATGTATGTTTACTAATCCAGACATGCACATCTGTATTTCTATATCTGTATATTTTATATGTATGTATAAAATCATGCATTCATACTGATACCTCTGACTCCAGTCCAGTTCTACAGGGTTTGTTTTAGCCTTTCCTGTTCCTTATTTGTAATTCTTTCCACTGGTGAGAATCCCATCTATTATCCGTAATCCCTTAACTATTCACGTATTCTTAGCATACACCTACTTTGACAATTGTTAATCCATATACTTATAAGAAACAATTTACTAACTAGATCACATTATTTATGTATAGTTCTTTTTATCTTAGCCTTACTATATCCAGTCAAAGTATTGCTTTCCAAAGTTACCTTGGTTAATTATTTTCTTCCCAACCCATTTCACTGTGGTCATGTTGTTCAATTGTAATACTGTTGGTGGTTCACTTTTATTGTATATATTGAGTTTAAACCACATTGTATTTGGTTTAAATTATTTGGTTATTAGAATATGTGAAACATCACTATAGTTCTGAGAGAGCTATACAAAAAGCTATACAAAAAGCTAAGACATTCACTACCAGGTTTTAATGATGATTCTCAGGACAAAGTCTTTTTTTTTTTTTTTTTTTTTTAATTTGTTTATTTGACAGAGATCACAAGTAGGCAGAGAGGCAGGCAGAGAGAGCAGGCCAAGCAGAGAGCCCGATGTGGATCTCGATCCCAGGACTCTAGGATCATGACCTGAGCCGAAGGCAGAGGGCTTTAACCCACTGAGCCACCCAGGCGCCCCTCAGGACAAATTCTATCAGACATAGCAAAATTTATTAAGTATTCATTAGTGAATAGTACAGTTCTATAATCTGTTTCATTGTTTTCTTTTTTGGAACTCTGATCACTAGTTTGCATGAAAAACTCACTCCAGAGGCAAGCTTTTGTAACCCTTACGGTTGGCATCAGGCAGCCAGAAATTCTTCTAAGTCACTGCTAGATGGAGGTAATTTAGAGACGGTGCTTCAGGTGGTATCCACAAGAGTCAGAATCAGGAGTATAAGACTAATTGGATCCTTTTTTGTTGTTGTTTTTTAAAGATTTATTTTTATTTGAGGAGGAAAGAGATAGAGGTAGGGAAGGTCAGAGGGAGAAGGAAGGATGAGAATCCCAAGCAGACTTCCTGACACAGGGCTCAATCCCATGGCGTAGAGATCATGACCTGAGCCACAACCAAGAGTGTGATGCTCAACCAACTGAGCGACCAAGGTGTCCCAAGGCTTGTTGGATCTTTAAGCCCCATTTATTTTCCTTTATTTTAAAAATTTTGGTGAAATATGTATAGCATAATATTGAACATATATGTAATATGTACTCTGGACGATTTGTAAAAATATTTGTTTGGTAAGAAGATTTTAAAAAAGAAGTTTAAAAATATCCCTTATAGATTCTCTTAAAAGAATCCTGACCTGTAGTGTTGTTGCCCTCCTTGGACACAGGTAAGATCAGTGATAATTGAGATATGAGTGTTTTTTAGGTAGCAAGGAATGTGTGGTCAATGAATAGGTGATAAACTAGCATTCTTTGTGTGAAAGAATTATTTATTCTATAAATAAAATTATTTATAGAATGCTGTATTTGAAATTCTAGTCCTCATTCCGCTGATAACCAGCTTCACTTACATACCCAAAAAGCATGTTGACCTACCTGAGCTCTGAAGATCTTTCATTTCTAAAAATCTATGATTTTAAATGTATGAATGAATGCATTGCAAATGTGAAGGTGTACTGTTTCTTTGAAAAGAGCAGAGACTAGAAAGAATATTGCCAAATTTTAATAATGGTTGTCTGTAAGTAACTCATCTGGGGATTGGCTAAGGGGAGGTGTTGAGTTATAATTTTGATTTTTTCAAAATATGTTATTGACTTTTATTGTTTGTTTTTTTGCACTAATTTTATATTGGGGAAAAATAATACAAAATATGACTTTTTCCTCCCTGAACTGCTTGGTTCATCATTCATCTATTTTAATCTCAGAGCTGTACCCTTTCTGGAGGGAAACATCATGGTCCTGTTGAAGCCCTGAAACAAATGTTATTTAATCTTCAAGCAGTACAAGAAAGTTTTAATCAGCATAAAACAGCAGAACTGGAAGAGGAGATTAAGCAAGTAAGTACAAACTTGACTTATGAATTGAGACCTGTGAATGTGAATTGAGATCTATGAAGATATGATTTCGTTCTAGATCTTTTTCAGCTTGACCACTATAGTTTTATGTTAATAAACATACCACATAACAACATGTTGTAGAATTGTGCTATTATTTTTTTCAGAAATTAACTCACTCAAATTAATACTAATAGATTTCTGTAGTGTGTAACCCTAAATGGAGTGTTCTGTTTAGTTCATGATTGGTTATAAATACAGCATCTTATTTAGATCTAACAGTGTTACAACTGTAGTATGGGAGAATTAGAGAAGTTGTTTTTTAACGTTCTACAAAATTCTCTGTATAATCCAACTCCTGTATTTATATTTGGGGAGGCCTTAGAAAACCTTTTCACCTTTAGGCGTCTCCACATAACTTTTGTTGTCTGAAATTTTGTTTTGTTACCATGAGTTTGGCTCTTCTTATAGTTGATGTAAAATTTTATCATTTAAAACCATTGGGTTTTTGTGTATTTTCTAGGAACTTAGAAATTCTTTGTGCTTTGGACTGCTGTTCTGTAGGGATTGAATTTTCTTCACAGTAGTACAGTGTTTACAGAGGGTTTATATTCTCCCAAATCTGATTGTGAATTCTAATTCTACCACTTAACTAGCAAGTGCAGTATTTGTACAGATCACTTAACCTTTTTAGTTTCTGCTTCCTTTTCTGTAAAATGAGGTTGAGAAGATAAATTGAGATAAACTATGTGAAGTACCTATTATATAGTACTTGGCACCTGATTAAAAAATAGCTGGTATATACTTAATAAATATTTTTATTGTCAATGTTTTGTTATTCTTATTCATTAGAGCTTTATGAAATTCAGTTTTAATTACAAATGAATGGATCAGCTCTGGGAAACTGTCACACCCTGAATTGTATTAACTTAATTTTTGTCTATACATTTAATTGATTAATAAATACAGTGTATTCCATCCTTTTTTAGACATCATTGAGATGTAACCTTGTTCTTACAGTTATAATTTCAAGTCAAGGTTTTATTTTTATTGGACATACATTTAAAAGCATACTTGAAAGATGAATCTTAAATAGTAGTTACTTTTTAGAATCAAGAGAAAATATTTATTTATTTTTTGAAACATTTTATTTAGAGGGGTGCCTTGGTGGCTCAGCCCTTAGGCATCTGCCATCGGCTCCAGTCATGATCTCAGGGTCCTGGGATCGAGCCCCTCATTGGGCTCCCTGCTCTGCAGGAAGCCTGCTTTCCCTCTCCCACTCCCCCTGCTTCTGTTCCTCTCTCTGTCTCTGTCAAATAAATAAATAAAATCTTTAAAAAAAATTTTTTATTTAGGGGCGCCTGGGTGGCTCAATCATTAAGCATCTGCCTTCAGCTCAGGTCATGATCCCAGCGTCCTGGGATTGAGCCCCACATTGGGCTCCCTGCTCAGCGGGAAGCCTGCTTCTCCCTCTCTCACTCCCCTTGCTTGTGTTCCCTCTCTCACTGTCCCTCTCTCTGTCAAATAAATAAAATCTTTAAAAATAAATAAAAGGTTTTATTTATTAGACCACAAGCAGGGAAAGGGGAGAGTGGGGAGAGGGAGAAGCAAGCTCCCCACTGAGCAGGGAACCCAACATGGGACTTGATCTTAGGACCCTGTCATCATGACCTGAGCCAGAGTTGAATGCTTAACCAACTGAGCCACCCAGGCACCCCTAGAATAAAGAGAAAATAGGTAATGCTTCATTGAAAATTACTTGCTAGAATTATTTCCTTGGTAATACAGACAATATTTTTTATTGTTCTTTTTATTCACATATTAGATGGTATTTAAGTTTATAGTTACATAATATTTTCAATATCTTGTTATATTTGGTATTTTTATAGGTTTCAGAAGATAATTTCTCTAAATTACAGTTGAAAGAAAGTATGCTTCCTATTACTAGATCACTTCAAAAGTAAGTATTCTCTACTACTTTCTGAATATACTATGGATACATATCGGTTTTATCTATTTCTCTGCAATCAGAAGATGATAGGAGGAATTAAATTGTCTTAGGAATAGATACACTTGGTATATTTAAGCTTCATGGAACATTGTTTAATCCTGAAGTTTTCTCTTAAACTTGCACTGTTTTCTATTAAAATGTTCTTAGGACCTAATGGCATAATCTTAGACACCTAAATATAATGGATGTGAGTGGCTTAGGGAGATTTCTCTTTTTATTTTGGACTAATAGCAACAATTTGAGATAGTATTGGTATATCATGGAAGAACAATTTGTTCATGAGATGTGTTTTTATATATTCCCTCTAGAATAAATATAATAATCATAAGTGTATCATTATTTGACATATCTCCACAGAGACTTAAAGTGAACATAATGTCCTGGATATAAAAGTAGGTCTAAATGCCGGAAAGGTGTTAATCAACTACTTTCTTAGTTACATTATCTTAAGTAAAATGGGGAGATGAATACAAATGTTTCCTTTGGTCGAGGTATTTGTTGGCAGAGGGAATGGTCTTTATGGGTTTGGTTGAGTGAGTATGAAATACACTCAGAAGATGGAATATTGAACTTTAGGACATGCTGAGATTGAAATTTTTTACTTTAGTAATATCTTTCACTTGGCCATAGATGGGGCTAAACAAATATTATCTACCTTTTGTCCTTTTAGAATTTGCTGAGGATTTGGTTTCTAAGGAAGTGGTGGAAAAGTGAAACACTAGACATGTAAACTTAGGACTCTAATTGCCACTCAGGCACCCCCACCCCCGCAGAATTTTTTTTAATAGTAGTAACTTTTGGGGCACCTGGGTGGCTCAGTGGGTTAAAGCCTCTGCCTTCAGCTCAGGTCATGATCCCAGGGTCCTGGGATCCAGCCCCGCATCGGGCTCTCTACTCAGCAGGGAACCTGCTTCCTCCTCTCTCTCTGCCTGCCTCTCTGCCGACTTGTGATCTTTGTCAAATAAATAAATAAAATCTTTAAAAAAAATAATAGTAACTTTTTTCTAGCTTAAACAACCAATAATCTTGCCTACATATAGAATGCCATTCAGAGCGTAAGATTCATATTTTGTTTAGCTATTGATTCTGGTGGATAAACTGGGGCAATCTTAATTTGGTTTTTACTTACATTTTAAAGGTATTATCTGTAAGACATTTATACTGTTAAGAAGTCAGTTTAAACTTTTAAAAGTTACATTAGTACATGTTTTCATTATTTTTAATCTGTAAATAATTTGAGGACAATTTGAAATTCAAATATTTCTGGTTAGGTTTATAGTCATCTTTTCGTAATTCAAAATAAACAGACTCAGCTGCTTCAGAAGTTGCAGATTGTACCTTGGGTGCTTTAATGACCTCTCCTAAGAAGGAAAGTCTAAATAGGTCTTCCCCCACCCCTCAAATAATAGTTTTTGTTTTTAACAGTTTGATTGCTAACCAGTTTTAAAATGTCTTTCATTAGCCTTAGGAAACATCAAGCTCTAGTATGGGTTCTGTTTACTCTGTTGGACACTCAGTTTTCTTATGTTCTTCCATTAGAAATAACTGCTCTCTAGGAAGACTCATTGGACTTGAAGTATAAATGATTGAGTAGCTTAAAATGGTTTGTTTTTTTCCCATAGGGATTTTGCTTTTAGTAAGAATATAAACTGTAATTGTTTTGTATCCCTGTAATTCTTAGCTTTGTCCTATGCAATTACATATTAGGAACTCATATTATTAACTAAAACCTTATTAACTATTACTTATTAAATAAAACTTATTAACTAAAACCTCAATAAGAGAAGCTTGTCATCTTAGCAAATGAAAAACTTGTGGTTTTTGAGTAGGGGTCTTTTCTAGAATCTTATATGTCATGTAAGCCACCAGCTGCTCTAACCAGGCTGGCTGTGAAGAATGAGCAATAGTATATTGCTCATATGGTATAAAGGATTGTAAAATCATCAATCATTCAAAAATAATTTGTATTGGCTTTGGAATATATTGTTTTATATATAATTTGGAAAAGAATGTGTAACGTTTTATAGTTCTCAGTATTAAAGGCCATGCTTTGAAGACTTAATAATAGCTAGAAAGTTGTCCTGTTTCTCAGTTCTCTTCTCTTGCTCAATTTTCTGGTCTTCATTATATGCTAGAAATAGAATTATCTCTCAGATTTGCAAAACATTATCCTAGAGTAAAGATTTTTCTCTTATTCTAATGTACTCTACTAAAACCTAGGGACTGGTCAGCAGTTTGTTCAGTTGTTGCTGGACACTAGGCTGAATATAGGCCAGTAAACAGTATTTAAGAACAGCCATTATAGCAGTACTAACCGGAAACCACATGCAAGATATCAGTGAGTAAGTTGAAATATAGTTAAATTGCCTTCATATAATCAGTCCATTACTGAATTTCTGTGGGTTGATTTCTGCTTATTCTAATGCCCATTGATAGATACTTTCTCACAATAAGACATGAGTTTTTTTATTTCAACTTTTAAGATGAATGACTATTCAGTATTGTATGTAACATGACTCTTAAATTGATATTTTCCCCATTAGCTTGCTTTTTCACTTTTTTAGAGAAGAAACTCAAGAATAACTTCCTTCTGTAATTTTATTCTGCACTTGTCCCTACACATAATAGCAAATCACTTCTGATAGCCTGTTGTCTAAGTAGATTGATTGCCTTATTCTTAGCAGGGCAGATAGAGGTTAAATCAAAGGAACTGCTAACTGATTGTGTAGGGGGACTGAAGGTTTCACATTTCTACATAGCTTTTTTTTTTTCATTCCCATCATACTACACTCTTCCCTTTCCTTCCCATTGTTCTTCTTTCTCCCTAACATTGTTTTTTAAAGACATAAATAATGCATTTAAATAAGATATTTAAAATATAGGTAAGTTAAAGTTCATTTTGTAAAAACCTATTAGTATGAGGGCCTTTTACATCACTTGAATAAAAGTGTTAAACCATGCTGTGGTCTTTTATTTACCTTTCACATGTTGATCAGCAAACAGAGTAAGGGAATATTGGAAAGTATCAATCTCAGGGTCACCAGGAAGACTTCACTCTTCAGTGGATGAACAATAAGGCTCAGAGTTGTCTAATTGTTGGCCAGTTATGTCATAAAAACTTTTGGACTGTAGGGAGAAAGACTTAGAATATATATGTTTTAACAATTGGGTTAATAATCAATGTAATTTTATAACTATTGTATATGACTATTGTAATTTTTAAGTAGTGGTAAATATAAAAGGTATTTTGAGATACCTGCAGTGACTACAATGTGATAAAAAATACCTCTGATTTCTGTGGCAGATGAGGTCACAGATTTTGGTCTGTTGCTTACATTCATAATGGAAGGAAATACTAATTTACAGATAGCTTTTAGTGAAAATAAAGATGAGATTCCCCCCCCATCCAATTTCATGAACCCTCTAAATCCAAGGGGTTTGTGGCCCTCAGAGTTGTAAACAGTAAGATAAGACTGTAGCTGCTTACCCCTCCCTCCCTCTCACGCTTCCTTCCTTCCTTTTTTTATGATTTTATTTTTAAGCAATCTCTACACCCAGTGTGGGGATTGGACTCGTGGCCCTGAGATCAAGAGTCTCACACTCCACTGACTGAGCCAACTTGGTTCCCCTTCTTCTTTTGAATCACAGGTTGCTAAATGATATGCCTGAAAAGAAAAAGGTAGATCTAAGTCCAAAGTATATTCACACATTATCTTCTTTCTGATAAATATATGTCTCTAGGAAGAAAATAATTTTTGATAAAGAGATATTACTATAGGCTGTAGAAATGATAGAGTCTAATTAATTTTACCTCTGACTGCATAATAACTTTGGGTAATTTGTTGTCATTTAGTTAATGAAGATGAGAATCTCAAAACTTAACTGAAGTTAAGGGTGGCAAAATCCACCAAAATAAAAGATTTTATTTATTTATTTGACAGACAGAGATCACAAGTAGGCAGAGAGGCAAGCAGAGAAAGAGGGGGAAGCAGGCTCCCCGCTGAGCAGAGACCCTGATGCGGGGCTCGATCCCAGGACTCTGAGATCAGGACCTGAACCAAAGGCAGAGGCTTAACCCACTCAGCCACCCAGGCACCCCCAAATCCAGATTCTTATTACATTTGAGTAAAAGTGTCCAAGAAGTAGAGTACAGGAAAATAGATATAATGCAGTAATTAGCAGTACTAGTTTCTTCCATCTCCGTATCCTGGGTCAAGTGGAAGATGTATTTTATTTACCATACATTTTACCAAACCTGTGTTAGAGATCATAAAAATAGGGTATTGTAGTCATCACCTTTTAACTCAATTTAGAAATTACTAACAGTTGTTACATTACATGTTTTTGTTGGTCTCTTATTTGTCAGAGACCTGAAAAATGGTTAACTAACATTTTCTGGATGGTCTTTAGGGATCTGAATGAATAATAAGGGAGAGGAAAAAAGGAATATTTTTAGAGCAAGACTGGAAAGTTAAGGGCCCCTCTTTTCTTGGTTTTATTTGATGGATTATTAAGTTTTCTCTACTGAGACTTGACCTATAATCTTAGCTTTATTTTATTTTATTTTTATTTTTATCTTTTAAGATTTTCTTTATTTGACAGAAAGATACAATGAGAGAGGGAACACAAGCAGGGGGAGCTGGAAGGGAGAAGCAGACTACCCACTGGGCAGGGAACCTGATGTGGGGCTCAATCCCAGGACCCTGGGATCATGATCTGCGTGGAAGGCAGACACTTAACAACGGAGTCACCCATGCACCCCCTTAGCTTTATTTCAGAGGGAAAAAAAACAGGTTGTTGGTATGATACCATGAAATTTTCATTTGTTTCTCCTTATGCTCATTAAAAATCAGTTTTCCTCAACTGTAATTGATCGTTTAGTGCTATTTTTTAAATTTTAGCTATCCTGAATATACATCTTCATGAATGTACTTTCTTTCTTAAATGATATAAACAGTATTCCAAAAGAAAAGGTATAATTTCACAAAGCTGTTGTAAAAATGACATGAACAAAATGTTAAGTGTGATGCAAACAAAGCCTATTATTATTAAACTCCTTGGCAAACTTTCAAAAAAAAAAAAAACCCTTGGATGTCAAAAACATATTTCTTAAAGTAAATGTTTATAAAATTTAAATGAATTATTTTAGCCCTCGGTTATTCAGATCTCAAGGTTTTATAAAGAAAAGTTCTAAATGTTTGATACTTATTCTATGAATTCATTTTTCATACTAATTTTGAAGTTAATAAATAATGTAATCACCATTTGTTGCTGTCTGCATTGTCTCTTCAGTCCTTAATATTGGTTTATAATGTGTTTTATACTTTTTAATGAAGGGCTTTGCACCATTTATCTCGCCTGAGAGACCTGGTTGATGATACCAGTGGGAAACAGTCACCGAAAATGTGAAGAGGAAAATAAAACGGTCCAACAAATAAATAGTCATCACAGAACAAAGATGTATTTTTTTTTCCTGTTGCTTAAACTGACAAAGAAAATTATAAGCTATGCATTATTCTGTGATTGGTTCAAGTATTATATATTCTTTAAAAAACAAACTTGAAAATGTATGTAGGTTTTGTGACCTATCCTCATTTTATGCCAAAATACCAGAATGTGAACTGAGAGGACCCACACTGTGTCCTACAGTCTGACTTTGGTCTTCAGGCCAGCAAATGTCCAATATTCAAAGATGGATGATGTCTGTTATTGAAGCTTAATGTGGACTTAATCTTCTCGAGCATCCTCATCATTTTATCTTCTGGTTCTGGGTTATTAGGAAACTCTTCCTGGTTTCTATCCAAAATCTCTTAAGTAGACTTTTTGATACAAGTAGCATCTACTTTTAAGTTGGCTAAAGGAATATCAAAATTGTTATGGTGTAACTTCTCCATATATGTTACCTTTAATTTTTATAAATATTTTAAGGTATGTGGTATATGCAAATAACAGTTTAATAATGGGATGATACAGTGCTAAAAGGAATGTTTTATGTTGTGAAATCCAAAAGAAAAACTCATTTAACTAATGCTTTGATTTTGATTCTGTGTAAGATAATCTTTTGTGTGTGTGTGTGTGTAAGATAATCTTGATATCACTTAAGAGTTTACAAAATATTTTTTGGGAGTACATTTGAAAATTTAATATTTTGATATTCTCAGATTTTAGTTTTGGGGTTAGCTCAAACTAGTAAAAATTCTAAGATCAGTAGTGACCAATTGCTTTATGTAATTTGTTAAGTAAACTTAAAGTGAATGTGGAAAATCCAGAAGCAGCTCTGTATTATAAAGCTGTTTTGTAAGAGCTAAACATGGTTTAAAGCAATCTACAAAATTTGTCTTTAGCTGGGACTCAACAGAGCTCTATAGATTAGCATTTTCTAACCAACTAAACTTATAAGCAAGAAAACGCCTTTACTAACAAAACTAGGAAATAAATCATAAGGCATATTTTAAAAGCCTGATGAAATGAAAGAATACGAGTGTCTGTATACAAACAGTACAAATTAACACTGCCCAAATTGTAGCATCTTTGCTAGATACCTTTACTGTCAAGTAGGAATTTCTAAGAGTACATTGTGTTGAATATTTTTTCCCCCTGAAGTTTAGAGCACTATATGATACCTTTGCTGTAGAACTTACATGTCAAAAAACTATAGAATAAACCTTGTTTTTTTTGTTTTGTTTTGTTTTGTTTTGTTTTGTTTTTGACCAGTGAGTCAGAGTTACCACCATGCAATTGTTTTTGCCCAGTTTGAGACTCACTGGCCGTTAAGTTTGTTTTGTTTTCTCTGGAGGTATTTCTGCTACCAACATTCTATTTTCTGATTATTGTCTTCTGCTTCAAAACATACAGTTTGCATGTAATCAAATAAGGTGTTACTTTGATGATGAAAGTATGGCTGGCTGTTAAAAATGCAGATTTTAAGTAGGTGAACACTAGGTGGGTCTGGGTTAATCATGTTCCAGGCTTAGACAAATCCACTGTCACAGAAATTCTATAGAAAGCAGAGAAGATGAATACATCATAATAAACTTCTAATTGCATATATGTTGATTAGTATGCTTAAAAAGCATTTGCAAAGGGATTATGCTATAATGACTGAACAGCACTGATTTGGTTAGTACTGTCATTTGCAAGAAAATATCTCGAGTGGTAAATAAGATAAGACTTCTAAGTTTTTATATTACACCTAATATTTTAAGAAACTTGATTATAGTTACTAAAGGAGTATTTTTCCTTTTGTGTTAAATATGGAAGCTTAGTCATTTACCTAAAAAGGGAATTTAAAATGATTAATTCTAACTTTTTTAAAAAAAGAAATGTATAGGAGAGTCAACTGAGAAAAATCTAAATGATAAGTGTTCATGAAATTCTCCAAAGAATTGATTTAATTACATGTGAAATATTTTAGTATTCTTTATTTTTTTTCTTTATTTTATTTTATTTTATTTTATTTATTTATTTGTCAGAGAGAGAGAGAGAGAGCGAGAGTGAGCAGGGGCAGATAGAGTGGCTGGCAGAGGGAGAAGCAGGCTCCCTGCTGAGCAAGGAGCCCAATGTGGGACTCGATCCCAGGACTCTGGGATCATGACCTGAGCCGAAGGCAGCCACTTAACCAACTGAGCCACCCAGGCGTCCCTAGTATTCTTTATTTTGAATTTCCTAGGAGTAAAAGGGTGACAACAGTATTTAGACTGCTGAGCTGAAAATTAAAAGCAGACTATGGGAACAATTACAGGTTTTAAAAATTGCTGTGAGAATATAAATTTTTTATCAACCCCTTTTAGGTATATTTCAAAGTGTTACGTAGAAAAGGAATTTTTAGTTGAGTATGAAAAAATTTGACAAACCTAATTCCAAAATTCCTTTGAGATCAAAGGATAAAGGTGTGATGAGTATATAAAGACTCAAAACTCAGTTGTGTGTTCTTTATTGTCAGTAGGAACTTTATTTTCAGTTTTTCTCTGTTAGCACATTTCAGCTTCATAGAGAGTTCTGACAAAATCGAGGAGCACTGTTTTGGGTTTGTTTGGGTTATATGTCTGTCTAGTTGTGTTATTTCTTGTTGAAATTTATAAATGTTGGGGGGGGGTTGGTGTTATATTTACTGTTTAGGACAACATCTTATTAAATTATATACAGTTCTACCAAAATATTTTTTAAAGATAAATCATGACATGATCCCCCCACATGTTTTGAATGCATGGAATCACTCATGGATTTGAATTTTTATTTCATCTTTCCTTTTCCAATGTTAACTGTGTCTCAAAACCCATTTGGTGGATGTATTATGGAGATGTATGGAAGTATGGAGATGTGCTATGGACAAGTGAACTTGCCAAAAGGCAAGTATTGTGATAAGAGGCAAAAGACCAAAAAAAAAAAAAAAAACCGCAAAAGGCTAATAAAATTGGTAATTTCTAAGCAATTGAAGTTTCTTCAAAAGTGAAAGACTGTGTATCATTCTATTCCATGTATCCATTGGGCGTTTTATACAGGGTTATGTGTCCTATTGGGTTGTAGTGCCTGTCATATAATGATTGGTGCAAACCTAGGCCTAAACCTGAACATATGTTCAGGTTATATTGTTACATTTCCCCCATGACATTTGAAATTATTCTTTTCCTGTTTGGTTTTTTCTTCTTTATTTTCACCTGTGACTAAGATCATTTTCCTATTTTGAACAAAAATATCTTTTTATCCTCCCAGTTTGTTCTGTATTGTCCTTACTCTAGACCAGACTTGTTTAACAGCTTTTCTCACAATGTAGCAACTTTTCTAACAATGTAACAAATATAACAACTATCCACCCTTCATTACCTTAACTAAGAGGTGCCTGTTGCCTCCTAATATCTATTTCAATGTGAAACATTCTTTCCTTTCACTTTCAGCCCTTTGGAGACAGGCTGACTGGTCTTTCAAGACACTGTTGTTAACACCACTGCTATAACATTACTAATTTATTTCAGGAATTTCCTATAACTAAATTGCTTTACTCATATTCTCCCAGACTTTCTGGCTGTATTCTCACCTTTGGGCATATTATTTCCTATACTTGAAACAGTTTTTTTTTTTCATTCAATGTTCTGACCGAATGTTATAGTTTCTTTTCCACATATTCTAACATTTTTCCAGACTTGATAGGTTGGCTTTCCTTTTTCCATACCCATCACTCATTTAGCTATTATATTTTTTATTCTTGTATTAAATTGTGTCTCTTTACCACACTGTATCTCCAAGGGAGAAAATGTCTCAAAAGTTAGAGGATTTTTTTTTTGATTGTATGATACTTCTATTTTTAATTTTTTAAAATTTTTATTTATAAACATATAATGTATTATTAGCCCCAGGGGTACAAGTCTGTGAATCACCAGGTTTACATACTTCACAGCCCTCACCGTAGCACATGCCCTCCCCAATGTCCATAACCCCATCACCGTCTCCCTACCCCCCTCACCCTGGCCCCCCTCAGTTTGTTTTGTGACATTAAGAGTCTCTTATGGTTTGTCTCTCTCCTGATCCCATCTTGTTTCATTTATTCTTTTCCTACCCCCAACCCCCGCCCCCCGCTGCAGTTCCACTTCCTCATATCAGGGAGATCATATGATAGTTGTCTTTCTCCGAGTGACTTACTTCGCTAAGCATAATACCCTCTAGTTCCATCATTGCAAATGGCAAGATTTCATTTCTTTTGATGGCTGCATTGTATTCCACTGTGTGTGTATATATATACACACACACACAGTGGAATACTATATATATATATATACATACCACATCTTTATCCATTCATCTGTTGATGGACATCTAGGTTCTTTCAATAGTTTGGCTATTGTGGACATTGCTGCTGTAAGCATTTGGGTGCACGTGCCCCTTCGGATCACTATGTTTGTATTGTTAGGGTAAATACCCAGTAGTGCAATTGCTGGGTCGTAAGGTAGCTCTATTTTCAACTTTTTGAGGAACCTCCAGCCTGTTTTCCAGAGTGGTTGCACCAGCTTGCATTTCCATGAACAGTGTAGGAGGGTTCCCCTTTCTCTGCATCCTCGCCAGCATCTGTCATTTCCTGACTTGTTAATTTTAGTAGAGGATTGATTTTTATCTCCTTTAATGATAGCACCTTGGGGCACCTGGTTGGCTCAGATGGTTAAGTCCCTGCCTTCGCCTCAAGTTATGATCTCAGGGTTCTGGGATTGAGCACCACATTGAGCCCCGTGGACTCTCTGCTCTGCAGGGAGCCTGCTTCCCCCTCTCTCTGCCTCTTGTGATCTCTGTCAAATAAATAAAATCTTTTTTAAAAAATGATAGCACCGGGCACCTGGGTGGCTCAGTGGGTTAAGCCGCTGCCTTCGGCTCAGGTCATGATCTCGGGGTCCTGAGATCGAGTCCCGCATTGGGCTCTCTGCTCGGCAGGGAGCCTGCTTCCCCCTCTCTCTCTGCCTGCCTCTCTGCCTACTTGTGATCTCTCTCTGTCAAATAAATCAAATAAAAATCTTAAAAAAAAAAAAAAATGATAGCACCTCTTACATTGTATAACCAGGAGCATGTAAACTTAAAATGACTCATGATTTTAAGCCTAGCTCTCTGTAAGATTATAGGCTCAAGAAAGGAGAAACCGATTTTTTTGATTATGTAATGTTCTGCAAATCCTTAAAATGAAGTAAATTAAACCTATTTTTTGATAGGTTTAGTTTACCTATAAACAGATGTTTCACTGTTTACCAAATAGTATCAACATATGTGTAAGTATTTTGGATGACATATCTATAAACCTAACCTTTTGAGCCCTCAAAACTAAAAGATTTTTTAGTTTATATTTTGCATTATTATATATATATTACATATTTTGCAATATTTTATATATTTTGCATTTCATCAGATATAAAAAGTATTTTACAGGTTTAGGACTATGTGTAGGAAAACTTTCAGTAGCTGGTTTTCATTGTGTTGCTTCTTTGATCCTGGCTTGATGGTTTTCATTGTGTTGCTTCTTTGAGCCTGGCTTGATAGGAAACTCAGTCTGGGTCC